GCTCCTTCTTTGATTGATGAGAATAGTGTCAACTCTTCATCAATAACGATGGATTTTCACATCTTTTGGCGTGGCCCCATCACGGACAAGTTATCTCTCAGTGCTCACGCGTTCCTGTTCACGCAGCCGTTAGATCGAGCACGTTTGCATCTCTGGATCGATTCAACAGCTCTCCCCAATGGCTTACCTGAAGATTATTTCAAGAACAACTTTGCTGCGCCCTTGGTCACTGAACCCTTGAATCGCTTCGTTATTATCCATCATTGGGATCAAGCCGAAGAACTCGCATACGCATATGGAGGAGGACAACCACAACGGCAACGCATTGAACAGCCGTTGAAAGAGTTAGGTGTAACCCTGTCCTTTTCCTCACGATCGGTCCAACCCGTGGCGCTTTCGGATGAGGCACGGTTCTTGATCCTGAATCGCCATGGTGGGATCTATCTCGATGCGGACGTCATGCTCCAGAAGGATATGTCGCCTTTCTATGATGCCGGAGTCGAGTTTGCTTATGAGTGGAGTAATACAGAGATGTACAACACTGCAGTCCTAAGGCTGTTCCCTGGAAGTTTAGTCGCTCGAAGGGTCCTAGATGGCGCCAAGTTGAGGGAAGCCGAGATCTTTGAGGAAAAATTGAAGATGCTGCTGGAGCAGATGATTGAGGGAGAAGAGGGCGACATCGATGTCGAGGGCGATGGTGAGGACCAAGAGGGGCTCAAACCCGGTAAGGAAGGTTACCGGGGAGGCGGCAAGAAAGAAAAGAAAGTGTACAACAAGAAGGTCAGAGTTTTGGATGCCTCAACAACTTCCCGGAATCGTGGTCGCAAACTCAAGACTCCACGAGGGATGAGGCCTGATGAAGTCTACCACCCAGCACGCCTTCGCAGCTACCTGCGCCCTGATAAGAAGATGGAAGGCAATGGTCTGACGATGATGCCAACTGCGTTCTTTGACCCATTATGGCTGCGTGTGGACCATGCAGAAGCTACTGGATCGAGCGACTTGGAAAAGATGGTACAGGATCTGCATTCGTTTCCAGACGCGTTCTCGGCGATCGAGGCCGTTTGTCCTGCTCAGGTTAATAGCGAGGATGACTTTCCAGCTGGTCCAGAAGTCTTCTTTACAGGCGCTTATGCTTACCATTGGCACAATAACTGGCTGGCATCGATCGAACCCAGAAGTTGGATGGGACTCATGCGCAAAGCGTATGATGACTTTGTAACAGGGCAAAGGCCGAACCTCTACGGAGAGTATTTCTCAGACTACTTGTAAGGAGACTCCGTCAAAAATTCACAATGGCCTTCGTACCCTATACCCTATCCATACATCCCGACCTGGTTCAAATACAGTTACAAAATAATTATTGGCCTGCTTCTCCGATCTTGTGGAAAAGTGTGTGAGTAGTTAAAACAACACCTAGGGGCGTCCTACAATGTCTTCCATGGTTTATTTCAAGTTCTCTTTATGCAGAGGCATGTTGCTTGGTCCACTCCTTAGCAGTCTCGATAGCCTCGTCCTGGTTATCCTTCCAGTGCTGGGCAACGTCGTTAGCAAGAGGGTCGTCAGGGTTGGGGCACGAAAGCAATGCCTGAATCGAGAGCAACACTGTGCGAATCTGAAGCGCAGGCGACCATTTGTCTATTGGTGTGTGAAAAAGAAAAAAGCATTCAGGGTCGTCAATACACACGCGCAATACTTCGTCCTGACGAAGTATTGCGCGTGTGTATTGACG